TGTTTTTGCGTAAGAATCTAAACCGTCTACGCCATGGTATTCATGAAGAGAGCTTCAACATTATCAAAGTTGGAGGACATCTGCATTATGAGAAGAAAAAGAGGATACAAATTTAGAAGAGTAGTAGAAGAGAATGATTAAGAGTGTGTGAAGGTGAGTGGAGAGAGTGGGTTTGAAGAATAGAAAAAAGGGGAACTACTCTTGCAACGATTAGTAGGGGAAGGGGAGGGACGAGTGAGCGGTGTGATTCGCATCACCACCATCACGGTAACAAGAGAGGGTGCGGTATTTTCTCCCCTTTATGCACAGACGTGGCGTCCGACTCAGCCATCATGGCCCATCTGTCCCACCCACACCCTTCAGCCTTATTCTAAGTATGAACCTAGTGGAGATTATAATAGTTGAAACTCTCCCAAAATCTCCTTGTGGTCGAATTATTCCATACAATTTAATCTTTAGAAAGTTTCAAAAAAGCGTTGAAAAGTAAAAAGTGATTGACATTTATTTAGAGGAGAGAATAAATGTAAGCCACATGTTCTTTACCTTATTAGGAAATTAAAAAGTGTGCTAATTAATCGGGAACAACAAAAAAGTGTATAAATTAATTAAGGACAAAGAGATATCTAATCATGTACGATGAGGCATAAGGACATACAATAGCACCACTTATGTCTCATTAAACTTTTCTACTTTAAAAAAGTGGGATTTCATAAATTTGTGATTTTGATTTTTAATTTTTCAATCTTGTCCTTATTTTATTGTTGGATAAAGTAAGATACTCCCTCCCTCCTTTTTTATTTACCACACTTTGACTTGCACGCAATTTTAGGTAGTGGATAAAAAGCAATTTTTTTCCAACTTTACCCCCACCCACCAAAACCTGTACAAACCAAAAAAGAGATAGAAAGGGAGTACTTAATTAAAGTAAATATCACATCAATGTCATTATTTTACAACTAGGCCACAATTTTTACACATCATCCCCATATACACCACACACAATTTTCGTTTAAAAATAAAGAGGGAAAAGAGCCAAAATTTAACATTGTTTTCCCCCAATTTTTTCCCTAAGAGCATCTCCAACCATGCTTGCTATATTAAATTGTTATTGTTAAATTTTAGCTAGTGAATAGTCATATAGCAAGTAGTTTTTTCCTCCATTTTGCAACCATGCTAGCTAAATTTTAACTAAGAATAGATTTTTCTAGTGCATCTCTCTATTCTCATGATGAGATTACTTTTTTGGACCCTTGATTTCATTTTTTATTATTTTTTTTGGCTTGCTATTATTTGGGTGGCTTGCTATGTTTAGCAAGTCAATTTTACTTTTTGACTAGTGTGCTATAATATACCACATCCTTTGGAGATGGAAAACATAGACTCACTTGCTATTATATAAATTTTAGCAAGCCATATTGATAAGGTTGGAGATGCTCTAAGTACACCCTCTTCAATGCCCATATAAATGAGTTGTGTGCATTGAAGAAGGGTAACTAATTCTAACCCAAATTGGATTACATATCTTCAAATCCATCTTCATCCACACTTCATGTATTTGACCTCAATCTGCCCCCGACTGCCCATGAGTTCGATCTCAACGAAGATCCAACGCCGGCTTCACTTGGAGACGATCCATCTTTTGACGCCGATGTTCCCACCCTTAGCATTCGAGCTACTGCGTCATTCGGCGATATGGGACGTTTAGCCGAGGTTGTTTCCCCACCGACACCTCTGACAAACACATCGACTTCTCGTGGAGTGCATACCGGGCAGCCCGAAGAACCTGTGCACGAAAACGAAGAGGAACAGCAGGAGAACAACACGACGCACAGACTATCTGATACTCAAAAGAAACGCATAGTTGAAATGCTAATGGGAAAAGCCAAAGAAGACTGTCAACTTCAGCGGGGGGTCATTAAAGAAGTAGCTATGAAGTTCAACACTAATAGATGGGCCGTTCACACCTTATGGACCAGAGCAAAACAACAATTTAATGCAGGCTTACCCATTAATGTGGCACCACAAATGAGGGGGCGTGTGGGCAGAAAAAGAGTCACATGTGATTTAGGAAAACTGGTTGAAGTTCCTTTTCATAAAAGGAAAAACATTCATGCAGTTGCATACCAACTAAACGTATCAAAAAGCACAGTGCACAGGCTACTCAAAGAAAAGCAGATTCGACGTCACACGAATTCAATCAAGCCTTTGCTGACAAACAGTGGTAAGGTTAAAAGACTATGTTTTTGTTTAGATCATATCATGCCCCAAACAATACCCATGAACCCAACAATTCATCACTTTTATGACTATGTTCACATAGATGAGAAGTGGTTCCAACAATCACAAGAGACAAGTACTTTTTACACACTCCCAAATGAAGAAGATCCATACAGATCAGCTCAATCAAAAAAATTTATACCCAAAATAATGTTCCTACCAGTTGTGGGTAGACCACTGTTGCAGGGTACTGGTGAAAGCATTTGGGATGGGAAAGTGGGTATTTTCCCCTTCACATTTCAGGAAGGAGCAAAGAGGAGTAGTAAAAACAGGCCTGCAGGTACTTTAGAAACAAAGCCAATTCCAATTGTTAACAGAGATGTGATGAAGCAAATGATAATGAGGTCATACCTGCCATTAAGGCCAAATGGCCTCATGCAAGGGCTAAGCGTGTAATCATACAACAAGACAATGCCAAACCACATATACACCCTGATGATCCAGACATAGTCCAGAGCTGTCATGAAGATGGGTAGAACATTTCTATAAAGTGCCAACCTCCAAACAGCCCTGATTTTAAAGTCATCACAGACGACAGATCAGGCACACTAGGCAACAAACACTTAGGGATCTAATTTATTTTTAAAATAATTTCTACTCACGATAAATAACGTAATGAGGTACATTTTAAATATTTTAGACAAAATGAAATATATTTGTGGAGTGTGTAAAAACGAGTAATACTAGAGTCAGAAGCAAAACACTCATTATGTACAAATTTACCATTTGTATATTTAATTTTTTATTTTTTAATTATTTGGAACTATTATTTTACATCTTTGGTAAGTTCATACAATTTGTGAATATTTTATTTTTGATTCTAGCATTATTCAAAAAATTAGGAAGAAGAATTTTGTGAAAGTAGAGATTATCTTCTAATATCAATGGCGTACGACGTACTCCCTCCGTCCAAAAATATTCTTTCCATTTGACTTTTCTTGGTCAAAGTTTGTAAACTTTGACTATGATATGTGGAAAAAATACATTGTATTAGGATATAACTTTAATATGAATATATTTATTTTAAAATATAGTTTTCAAATATCAATTTTTTATAAAATATATTTACTGTTAGTGATCAAAGTACAAAGTACTATCTATATTAAATCTAGGTCCTAGGGTTTCATTTAGGTTATTTTGAATAGTTAAAATAAATAGGGCCACAATTTATTTGACCATGAGCAAGAATTTAATGAGCTCTAGCTTGGATTGGACCAACCTTGAAAATGATATATTCCGTATATCTTAATTGATGACTATGGGCCCATTGTTGACTCGAATCAACCACTTAGCTCTTGTATATTGCTTAAAAGGCCCAACATTGTTCTTAAAAATACATAATTTACATTTCAGTTATGTAAATAGATAACTTTACAAATGTATAACAAAAAGATCAAAATAGAAATAAAATATATAAAAAGAATTAAATTAAGACTTTCATCCTTTTATCATCTAACTAAGACATATGATATCAATAATGTCAACCTATAATTCTAAAAAATATTATAAAATGTCAACACATAGTGTCAATTTATCATAATGTAATAATCTTATTTTAAAATAAAAACATTTCACTATTATTTTAAAAATAATAGTGATTTCTTTCTATTTATTGTGCTACCCTCTTAATCATATTTAAAACAATTTAAACTTCTAAGTTGGAGTACTTTTGTGACACTTATTGCAAAATAATAAATCAAGTGACTCACTTTAGAGTTTAGACTACAAGGGAATGCAAGGGTACCGTGTCCAACTGAGGACTGAGTAACCTTCAAATCAATCTATATCATAAAATGATGGATAAAGCTACTTGTACCCCAAATTTGTGTACCCCATTTGTACACCGCAAGTTTGTACCGACATTTTGTGTCGGTGTAAAACTAATTTTTATTAACGCACCAACACTTTGTGTCCGTGTAAATTTTTGTTAACGCACCAACGCTTGTGTCGGTGTAAACAATCAAAATGTTTGTGCATAACTGCGGTGTACAAATGGGGTACAAATTTTGGTGTAAGTGTAGCATGGTCCTAAAATGATACCACTGATCACCGGTGATATGAATTTTTGGATATTGGAAAAGTTTTTTGATCTAAGAAAAAAAATTACTCTCTCTATCCCAAATTATTTGCAACGTTTACTTTTTTAGCAGTCGTAGAAACTTTTGTTTATTTCTACGTTTTCATTGGTTATTTGATAAAATAAAATATTCTTGACACCTCTTATTTCGAAAAGCTTTTTATGAAGTTTTTTGATATGTAAATTTTATTTTTTTATTTCTATACAATATGTAAATAAAATGAATTGAAAAAACTTGATATTTTGCCTCGGGAATGCAAGTGTGGCAAATATTTAAGGACGGAGGGAGTATCTGAGAATGACTTAGATACATACGATAATCCATTTAGTAAAAGATAATTCTATATATGTGTAACTCTTCTAAAACCTAATCAGTCCCCGTACCCGAACACATCCCTCCATCTCCTGGTAGTATACCGCGATGACTTGTTTAGAAATTTGGGTTTTAAATTTCACATTTGACATTAATAAAATGTTTGGGAATTCAAAAGATTTTGGGTTTGAGTTAAATTTCTCCAAGTCCTAAAAAATCTCAATTACAAATTTATACCCTCCTTTTTTAATTTTAAATTCAAGTGGATTTACAATGTTTTAGGAATGTTGATTAAGAATGAGAGATGTTTTTTTTAAAAAAAAAAAATTGCAGTGTTAGAGCTACTATTGACAGATACAAGAAGCACCATTGCGATTCCACAAATTCAGGATCTATTTCAGAAGCTAACACTCAGGTAACATAAATGTGAGATAGTGAATACTAGGACTTCTTCTCTTTGAAGATATCTCTTTTCACCTGAATTTTTTTCTTTTCTATCTTTGAGGGAGAAAAATAATTGTATTTTTGAAGGATTCTTTTTTATTTGACAGTTTTATCAGCAAGAGGCAGCCAAACTGCGCCGCCAAATAAGAGAGATTCAAATTTCAAATAAGTAAGTAGTGCCTTTTGTCTGTATGAACAAAAATGTTTGGTAATGCACCACTTGTTAGTGTACACAAAGTGGTGTAGATAGTCTTATAAATTAATGCCTTTTTTTTAAAAAAAAAAAAATTGGCCTTGCCCAGGCAAATTGTTGGAGAGTCACTAGGAACATTAAACCAAAAGGAGCTCAAAAATCTGGAAGGGAAACTTGAGAAAGCCCTTGGAAGAGTCCGTTCCAAAAAGGTATAGACTTTATCTTTGAACTAAAACTAAAACCGCCCTACTAACCATAATTATGCAACTAAAACCATGTTTAATGCAATGCTTATGTGAATTTCCAGAATGAGTTGGTTTTCTCTGAGATAGAACTGATGCAAAAGAGGGTAAGTACTAATTAAGAAGCACCTCCACATTTCTTTACCATATACATAATGTGTGCATGTTTCATGTATAACTTCTTGCAGGAGATTGAGCTGCAAAATGCCAACATGTATCTTCGAGCAAAGGTCCTACTCTCTCGTTTCCCTTACGAACATAATATATGGGGTAATATAACAAAATTTGGGATTTGGGGATGTAGTTCAATTGAAGACACAATTTATGGCATCCGAATTGTCTCAGAGGTTATTAGAAATACAAGACTAGGATGTTGAGTATGAAATAAATGTACGTGATATCTCAACTAATTAGAAGTCTTAGTTACGTTTAAAGACCATTTTCAAAACAAAAAAAAAACTTCTAAACGATGGATTAAACAAAAAAAATCACAGGGGCCAAAAACAAAAGTTGCTTATTCTACAGGAAATAAAAACATGTTTAGCGTGTTTTGATATTATCAATAAGTACTGCTCCGTTAAGAGTGACACAGATATCAGAGTTTGAGAGAGCAGCACAAGAGCAAATGAATATGATGTCGGGATCTCATCATGAGTACCAACAGCAGCAGCAGCAGCAGCCTTATGACGACGGCCACAACTTTTTTCCCATCACTCTCCTTGAACCCAACCAGCATTACTCTCGCCACGACCAAACAGCTCTCCAACTCGTGTATGTGTACACACAATATATGCATATATGTATACCACATTGGTTTAAGGTTTTGCAATAACTGATGTTGCTTTGCAAACGCAGGTGAAAACAGATCAGGTGTGTGGCTGGGAACTATATGAAAATGCGATCTGTTCAACTCTGTCCTGAGAATATATGTTGTCCAGAAACCTTGTTTGTTTTTCTTCTTATAGCTGTGTAAAATCTCGTGCACGAACATCCAACAATTTATTTCACTTCCATGGATTCCCTCTGCTAGCTAATTCATTAGCTGCTTGTGCTTAAGAATTTCAATTGGTTTGTGAAAAGAAAAGTATTGTTTGATCAGATGACCTTTTTCTTGCATTGTGATTCCACAAATTCAGGATCTTTTTCTTGGGCTTAAGGTTAGACGTGTTTTATAAAAGGTCTAGTGAATCCTAATTTCGCTTAATAACGACAGAACGCTGGGTTTTCAAGGTTTTTGGAGACTCTTTTTCAAGTTCGGTTGTAAAGAACTCATCTTTATTTCATGATTTTTGACATGTCATAGAAGTAAGCACAAATAGTTGACACAAAACCCTAATATCTATAATGAGTACCTTGATATGCTACACCTTCTGTTCCAAAACATAAGATCCATTTTTATATGAATCTGGACTATTAGAATTTACAAGTGCCAGAGACTAGGGTGTGAATAGTGTGACACGAGAGTATTTGTAAAATAATTGCGTAATAAAAGTCACAAGAATAAAGAATTAAGTGCAAAAATAAGAAGAGAAAAAGAATACTGATCTTTTAAACTGATTCATCACAACTTGTAGCTAGTTCAGTCCGCGAGAGACTATCTCATATTCCACTACCTCTATTAAGCTTATGAGTGCTTAGCTAATCATCACAACCGCTCGTACCTATCGCATCTACTAGATTTTACACCGCTCGCACTCCTCGTCCAAGACTTTACACACTAAGATCATGGGTTATTAGCAAACAAGAACACTCTACAAGATTGATCTTCTCAAGCCTCTTTTTTATACCATGAACTCTCTTTGAATAGTAGATGAAAAGTTACAATATAAACTCTATGAATAACACAATTATGTTTCAACTTTGGCTCTACAAAAATTTTATGATTTTGTTAAAAGATGTTATGTTCATAGAAATAAAAAATGAGAAGAGTTGTTCATGAAAAAAAAGCTAAAAGTGTCAATTTATAAGCTAAACAAATCTATGACCGCTGCTCATTGATTGATAATCAATCAAGCAAAAAATCATCAATTTAAACAATGACAGATCTAATCAACCCTGAGACTGAGCTTTGGAATTCATGGTAGTGCAGCTCGACTGTGCACATCATCTAATCCTAGGGCGACTGAGCTTGGAGGACCATAAGTGTGTAATCTCCCCTGCCCATTTGTGCATGAATTTTCCCACCCCCACTAGGTAGGCGTGGCCAAAGGTGACCAGAGCATGTCACGGTCGTGCTATGTCACGGCGACCAAGAGCTATGCACGAATCGAAGAGAACGTCAGTACAATTTACGATGCCATCCAAGGGGAGGAAGGTTGACCCAGGGCGAAATCGGCAGAAGAAGTTGAAGAAATTACATTAGACCCTCCAAAGCCGGAGTAGGGGGTTAAGATTGGAAAACCCCTACAACGGGAACAGAGGGGACTTCTGGTGGGCATCTTTCAATCTTTCAAGGTGCTATTTACATGGGGCCCAGAGGATATGCCTGAGGTCGATCCTCAGATCATCTGTCACCGGCTGGCGAATGATCCTGCACATAGCCGGTAAAGCAGAAGAAGCGCTTCCTCTCTTCGGAGAGGAGAGATTTTGTTACAAAGTAGGTAAGCGCTCTGCAGTCCATTGGGCATATTTTGGAGGTCTCGTACCCGAAATGACTGGCCAACATGGTTCTCGCATCCAAAGGGAATACCTAGCGGATGTGCATCGATTACACCAACCTAAATAAATTCTGCCCAATGGACCCGTTTCCTTTGCCCAATATTGATCGGTTGGTGGATGAGATGGCAGGATATGGGTTGATGAGCTTTATGGACGCCTTTATAGTGGGTATCATCAAATAAGGATATCGACAGGGATGAGGAGAATACTCTAGTTAAAGCAAGAGCTGAGGAATCACATGTGCAGGACCTAGCTAGAGAAGGTATTCAAGATCATGCAAAAGTATCAGCTCGAGCTCAACCCGAGGAAATGCACGTTTGGCATACAAAGGGGTAAATTTTTGGGACATATGGTTAGTAAGAAGGGCATCGAACCCAACCCTGAGAAGGTCAAGGTGATACTGGGCATGAAGCCTCTGCGAAATGTGAAAAAAGTTCGGCAGCTGACGGGAAGGATTGCTGCTCTCAACAAATTTCGATCCAAAATAGCTAATCGAACAACACCTTGTTTACAGACGATCAAGAAGAGCAAAGGGTTTATCTAGACAGAGGAATGCCAATGGTCATTTGAAGGATTAAAAGCTTACCTCCTCTCCCCACTGGTGCTTTCGAAGCTAGAGCCAGGGAGACATTGTACCTGTACCTAGGTATTTCTACTCCTCGGGCCGTGAGCTCAGTGCTGCTTAGGGAAGAGGGGGGCTCATAGCGACCTGTGTACTATCAGGGGCGGACCCAGAACATTTGAACCATGGGGTCGCAATTTAGAAAATTTATATCCAACCAACACGCTTTTAACAGTAAATAAATAGTATTCTATAATACATAACATTAAAGTTTAAATATATTATTGAAAATATTAATTAAAAATAGTTCTACATTGCAAATGTGAAATACATCTTACAATTGAAAATGTCTAGTTTTCATATTTTGAAAGTGATTTATTATTTGCGTTCAAATTTGATGGATTCTCACTCGATTTTTTCTTTTTAAATCTTAGTGCCTTTTAAAAATACATTTGCATCCTATGTTGAAATTTAAATAATTAAAAACATTATAAACTTAAAACACAACCTAATTATATTAACATATTCACAACTCACATAACCTAATTCATTCCCTATTCTGCTATTCACAATAACAAATTTATAACAATAAATTAAAATTTTCACAATTTACAAATAAAAAAAGAAGTACCCAATAAGACAAAATCTGAAAAAGTAGCAATGGAAGATGAAGATCTGAACGAGTAATTGGGGGTGACGTATTGTTGTCACTTGCCGGATACTAGCGGCGGCAGAGTCCATGCGGTCCAGAGAAGGCTGAGAATTGCGATTCCGTCTGGGAAGTTGGAATTGGGTCGAAGTTTTTTAGGTTTAAGACAAAACCAGAAAAAGAAAGAAAGAAAGAGGACACACATTTGGTTTTGAACACACGACTCCATGCCCAATTGCAAAGCATGGAGTTTTCCACTCTTTCAACATCTACGAGTGGAATCTTAAGGCGTTTTGTAGAATATATACTATATACACGCATACACTAAAAAAATTATGTGTATATATATATATATATATATATATATTGAAGGCAAAAATTATTATATATATACATATATACTAAAAAATTTTGAAATTTCCATGGGGTCACTTGACCCCGTGTGACCCAACGTGGGTCCGCCCCTGTGTACTATGTGGCCAGAGTATTAAGAGGGGCTGAGTTGAGATACTCCAATATTGAGAAGACGATTTTCGTTGTGGTATGCACAGTGAAGAAGCTGGCACCATACTTCCAGGCACACCCTGTGCATGTCTTCTCAAAGCCCAATCAGGGTCCTTTTCTGAAGCCCGAACGCCCCGTCGCGAGTAAGCAAGTGGGGGGTATTTTTGGAGTCGTTTCAAACCGACTTTGAATTGAACCTCGACCGGTGATCAAGGAACAAGCATTAGCACACTTTGTTGTGGAGTGTACTACAAGAGAAGAAAGAACAAGTGAAGGGACGAACCAAAATGGGAACTGGTGGGCCCACATTGTCACTCGCCAAACTTACCTCATGTGCGGCAAATACTCTTCCTCGCACTTATATGTATGGCGAACTACAATTTTAAGTGCAACCAAACACCAATTTTCTTACGGATATAAGTTTTTCAATTGAATTGGTGTAACGATGTTACACAAATTGGATTAGTGTGATCTTACCCCTCATCATATATTCCATTTAACAAGTTACTCCCTCCGTCCACAAATAAACTTTACGTTTACTATTCACAGGGTCAAACTTTATTCATTTTGTTGGCCTATTTTCGTCACCCATTTGATAAAATAATATAGTCATGTCATCTTTTGATATAGTTTTTTAATATAGTCTAGTTTGTAAATCTTTTGATATAGTTTTTTAATATGTAATTTTTATTTTTCAATTCTACACCATTTTTCATATAAAATGATTTGAAAATAACTTCAGTCAAACATCGTAACGCGCAATGTAAAGTTTTTTTGTGGATGGAGGGAGTATATTTGAGTTAGGGGCTGTTTGGCAACTTCTGAATAGGTAAGTCTGAACGAGTAAGAGGTCTGAACTAGGGCTGGGTTCGGAAAACCGAAAACCACAAACCGAACTGAAACCGCTCGAAACGAGCTAGAAAAAAAACCGAACCGAAGAAACCGAAACCGAATGTAAAAAAACCGAACCGAACCGTTAGTGTTTGGTTCCGTTTTGGTTTTCACATTGAAAAACCGAACCGAACCGAATAAATCGAACTTTCTTAGATACTTTGCTTTTTTATATAAATATATGTGATATGTAGAAAAATCATAGAAATATAAATGCAAATAAATTACTAGTCGATTAAAATTATTTTCTTAACTATTAATTAAACATTTTAGCCATACTATTATAAACTTTTAAAAAATCTATGAATATAAACACCAATAGCTAATCCAAATATAGAATTATATTAACATTTAATATTGATACGAGTAATTTACATATTTACATAAAAAAATACTTTGATGTTATAATGAAAATGAAAATATTATACCAAAAAACACAAATTCTTCGTAATTAATTTTACATACGATGTCTTTAGAAGTATTTGGAATCTCCTAAATGTTTGTTGGGTACTCAACAGTTTTTTTTATGTAAAATTGAACCGAGTGATACAATAACCTTCCGTTTTATTTTTGTTTTTGTGTAAAACTCAAACCAAAAAACCAAACCTAACACAACATATTGTTATTGCTCCATCGAGTTAGTGTTTTTACAATTTTTTTAATGCTTATAAATTTCTACTTTTATAAACGGAAAAAACCGAAAACAACCGAAATAAAAACCGTATAAAACCGAACCGAATAACCAACGGTTTACATATTTTTTATGCAAAACCAAACCGAACCGAACCGCCAATTTACCTTCCGTTTTGTCTTTGGTTTTGAGTGAAAACCGAACCGCAAAAACCGAACCCACCCCTAGTCTGAACCATTAAGTGCTGAACCAGTAAGAGGTCTGAACCATTAAGAGCTAATATATTGCTTAACTATTTAGAGGCAATGTCTGATCAATTCAGGTAAGAGGTCTTAACCATTCAGACTCTGTATAATACTTAACCATTCAGAGGCAAATCTCTTAACCATTCAGACATCTGAACCATTAAGAAGCTGAAACAAACATTCTAAACCATTAAATGTTGAACCATTCAGACATCTGAACCATTAAGAGGATGAAACAAACAGCCTCTTATACTAATGAAGTAGCGTACATCCACAAACGTGCTGTATAACAATTAAATTAAAGTACCGAGTAGAATAAAGGGAGTAATATTTTAAACTCAATTCAATATGAAGTACTCCGTAGTTAAATTACAATTCAAACAAATGAAACCTCCCACGCCAGATTCGCCCATCATCCAGAAACCACATAAACATATATATGGAGTCATAATAATAATAATAATAATAGAAATAATAACAACAATAAAGTTCATGCATGATGCCGGAAACCTCCCAAGATACATACTAATAACACAACGACCACAAATCAAGGGCTGGCGGGTTTGTAGTGTCCCTCGTTAGCCATCTTGAAGAGCTGGGCTTGAGCAGCGGCGGCATCCCCATTGGAGCTGAGAGCGGCGCGGCCAAAGCTGAGCTTGACCTGCTGTTCTGAGAAAGGGAAGCTATTGCTGGCCATAGAGTTCAGCAACGCCGCCGTGCCTTCCCTGTACAGCTCCCCGAATCCGTCCGTCCTCGTGTTGGAAAGTGCTTCCAGCAAGTTCATCCCCGCTCCGAACCCCCCAGCGTTGCCTACCCCGAACGTGCTGCTCACCGTGTTCCCATTCCACCCCATTATTCCCCATATCATTGTGGGGTGCATCCTCCAGAATCTGCATATATGCAACATTATCAATTTAATTGAATGTATCGTCAGCGAAAACTATTGATATTACATTTGTATCGAAAAACAATGTGTTTTTTTTAGGAATTTACTTAAATAACACTAAAACATAATGACTTTTTCTAAATAACATCATATGTTTTTTTTTCTCAATGTAGCACTTTTAGTCATTATCCATTAGTCATTATTCAAGTAAATGTTCGTCATCACTAGACATTATGGACAATATTAAGTGTTATTTAGGGAAATGACTTAAGTTTTAGTGTTATTTAGTGCAAATATTTCTTTTTTTTTTTGCATTTCGAGGTCAAAATTTATAAATATTCATAAATAAAAGTCAAATGAAAACATCAAATCTTATATGGGAAAGTACTCCCTAATATGACAATAATAATGTACACACTCACGTGCATGGGAAGGGCCCAGATGAGCTTGGAATCCTTGGATCAAATGAGAAAGGAGGCGTGTTTGGGAATGGAAAAGGGGGAGTTCCGACAGATGGAGGGGTGGTGGGGATGGGAATAGTTGGGGTATGGGGGACAGTTGGTGGGGCCACAGTGGGAGTCCTTGGGGTATAGGTAGGAGTGG